ACGCCAAAGGAAGAACATAAAAATCAAGATGAGAGTGGTAACTCTTCCGATCTCTTATCTCATTCAAGTCATCCCCTTACCACACCAGACTCTTCTACGTACAGGATAAGTTGTTCTTCAGCTTCAAGCATCAACAATAGTCCCGAGCAACCCGATGTTAAAAACTCTTCTCAAGATGATAGTGGTAACTCCTCCGATATCTCATCTCATTCAAGTGCTGAGTTTGATTCACCAGACTCATCTACATATAGGTTAAGTTCTTCTCCAGCTTCGAGTCTGAACTCTAGCCCAAACCAACCCATAGGTACCAGTTCATCTCCATATCTAATCAATATCAAACAACCCAAGTTAAAGAAGAATAACAGAACCAACTACAGTTCACAACAAGTAAGAAGTCTAGAGAGTATATTTACAGAATCACGATATCCTGATTCAAATATGATGGAAAAGATATCCCAAGATCTCAGCATTCCTGAGAAAAATATAAAGGTAAGTTTCGATTGGTTTCTTACAATTTTCTTTATACATGAAGAGTAAGATGAATTTTTAACAATGCTTGGAAAATGAAGACGTACATACGCCACACAGTATGGCATTTTGCACAGACAGTTGCGTTTTTTCCTCCTCTTAACGAATTCCTGCCAATGGTTCATTTACGTGCACGCCAGGCCCTCCATCCTGCACAGGAGGAAACTACGCCGGAAATGATAACCTTTTATTTGGGGGAGGGGGTGTATTAAGATGGCCCCGTCCACCCTTCCTGGTTTTGTTTCAGTAACATATCTCACAAACTCTTCAAGATAACTTGATGAAACTGTGACCACATCAACCGGTAATTGCTGTTGTGTTTTTTGCCTATTAAAATTTCTCCATGTGTTTCCTTGCAGACAAATTAGTGTTTGGTATATGAGAGCGAGGTGATTGATGATAATTGAATCGTTTTGTTTGTTTTCAGATCTGGTTTCAAAATAAAAGAGCAAGATTCAGGAAACGTGTCCAGAATAAAAACGCTATATATCCACCAACTTATCCGTGTTACCCGGCACCAATGCCATCTATTTCACCTTATAATATGATGTCTCCATCCTCCTTGATGACATCTTGTGCAGCAACTGGTTACAACTCAGACTCCGTACAAAGTACAACAGCAACAACGTTAATAAATAAGTCAAAAGGCGTTTTTGTGAGTCGATTAGATTAGGTTTTGATTTGCTAGTACGATTTGGTATGATTTCGATTTGATTAGCTATGGTCCACAAATGTGAAATTTGATAATTACGATTTGGTAAGATGACTGCCATCACGGACACCGATCAGAAAAACAAATGTCTCTGCTAACATGACCAGGGGGGCGTGTGTTTCAAGTGTAGTCCAAGTTACCTACAGAGTACAGTGACACTGCTGGCACCCAGAGGGCCTAAAATTGCTTAGAGCCAGAGGTGATCTAACATTCTTGTGGACTATAAAGTTAACATTAAACACATCAATGCGTTTTAAAAAAACATTTTTTATGGAGAAAAACAACAATAAGCATTAAAAATTACTTACGATGTCGAACATTCCGCCATTTTGAAAACGTCAAATCTAATCGCCTAAACACCTCCTGGGACGATTTGGTCGAATTGCCTAATCAATTGAGTTAAATCGTCTCACAAATGTAACGATTAGCATAATCAACTTGGTTCACAAATGCGTATAATAGCTAATCGGTCTAATCTAATCGGTTCACAAAAACGCCTAACGTCTCCCCCGATATATCCTCTACAATTTCCTTCTCATACGACCTATACGTATCGATACAGGTTTCCTACAATGTAAATTCGGGTTGTCAGTGGCGCAGGAAGCACTTTGTCGTGCAAACAAAAGAAGCCTTAGCAATTGGAATTTGAAATAAGAATAGACCAATTTTCACTGCTTGGCGGATGTCCGTCTTCAATATCCCAGTTGGTACAGAAAAGGGGACGTTAAACCCCATTCGTAAATTAAAACCCTGATGTTAATATAGTGCTATTTATAAATATTGTAAATATTATTTATCGTATTAGAAACTTGACTATAATTTACGTTTTACTTGAAATAAAAGTTTCCTGTCATGAATTATATTATCGATTTTGTGATATCCAAATTGTATAATACATACCTCTCTTATCTTTACGTTTCGCGTGGACTTAAAGTTTCCTATTATGTATATTGCATATTCACATTTCTTGTGTTACTTCCTCGAAAAGAAATGGAGGGGGGGGGGCTACAAAATACACCTGAGATGGACTATGTACATTTAGTTGTAGCGCATTGCATCGAGGAGTGTGAGCCGTGGTAGCTCAGTGAGTATGGCGCTGGTTAGCTAACTAGGAGGTCTGGGGATCGCTACCGGACCGGAGTTGGCCGAGAATGAAACAACACTTGGCAGTTGGAAATACGAAATAACCATAGGCCGTAGTGCCACTGTACGGGCAAACTCCATTTCATTTGCACAGAGGATTAAACATTTCCGAAGTCGACTGCGTGCATGTGAATTCAGAGAGTAGTTTAACAGGTTAAAATCAACTATTTAATAGCTTAATCTATTCTCACTGGGTACTAGTATAGTATAAATCAACCCAATTTAGTTAATAGATCAGTCCGTATTAGATGAGTACTAGTATAACAGTTAACTTAAACTCATTCTAGTCTGAATTTAGTTTACAAAATTACCCGTTCGGTTGTTTTATGAAAGACGCTGTATGTTATAGAGGATGATAGCTGTTGTGAGGGAGAGGAAGTTCATTTACGGCAGGAGTTATAAAGTACAGGGTTGTGCTTTGATGAAGGGCGGTGCTGCTTTATGGAGGAGGTGATTGTTTTGGAGGGGGTTGATGCTTTATGGATGACAAACCTTATTTTATCAAACACGTGGGTTGTTTTATGAATGACTGGGCACTTTGATGTGGGATATATTAGGTTGCATGATATTCAAATATTTTGACTTATATACCGCAAACCCAATTTCCGTTGTCTATCCACAGATTTGGACAACGAAATCATCGGTTCCAGTCAGTATCTAAACTAACAGGAACGGACTCTAAATGTCATCTTCGACAATGCAATTTGCATGAAATAGTCACACTGATTTACGCACAGGTTGACTGTCACACACCCTGGTCGATAAAGAAATCAGAGAAATACCAACAACATTCAGTTGATCACAAGAAGCGTTGGCTAGTGTCCTGTCCCAATGAGAATGAAATCAAACCAGCAGCGAGTAGTGGTGGATGGTGCATACAGGTACATTGGACGCGATTGGTTTTAGTAGTGTCACAGGATCTGGTTGGAACAAGGGAAGGACAGCGGGAAAATAGGACACAATATCGTCATTAGGACAATGAGAATATGATGACATTGACACGGTCATTTCCACGAGTATTTGAGGTAACTCGAATTTCGAGGGCACTTGTTCAGAATGGAGGATATTATTTCAGACGGAAGGGCACTATTTCAGAAGGAAGGGCACTATTTCAGAAGAGATGGCACTATTTCAGAAGAGAATGCACTTTTTTGGACGAGAGGGCACACAGTCACCCCTCACCCCTTACCCTAATTGGAAATTTGGTCGGATTCGAGCGTTATCAAACATATCCGGTTACTTTTGTTTTTTGCGTTTATCAGGGCAGGGTAGGGCCCCGTCCAGCATAACCGAGGTCCCGGGTACACGTTGCCGGGTACGTAAAACAATTGACAGACGTAATTCGATGAAGAGTAGGCGGAAACATCGCAGTTCGGACAGAATGTCCTCATAGCACATGCATGCCTTATGACCATCTTCATTACCCCGTATATGAAACAGCCAAAAACTTAACAGCGGTAGGTTACCAGTTAACGAAGCATGCACCAACAGATAGATCCAATATTGTTCACTGTGCGTAATATGATGCTTGCACGATTCTGCTGGTTTAAAGGGTATGTGATATATATTTAATGTAGGCACAAATCACACAGTATATCAGGGTTTCCAACGTATAATTTATTAACAAAATATTCTGGGAGGAAAACAGAATTCCGGAGAAATCCCGGATGTAGGTGTCGGACATTTACTAGTTTGTGAGGCCTGATATCTCAGACTAAGAATAACCTCCCTTATCAGTTTCTTTTACGGTTAAAGTTTAGTTTTGGTTTATATATTTTACCGGGCTAGTCTTGATTATCAAGATGTAGATACAGTCCTTCAAAATAAAGTTATCGAACCATCGGTCCAGGGTTTTTGTACAAAATGCCCGATGCTTGATTGAGCTAGTTATAAAGTAGGCCTAGGATTTTTAATAAAATGGCTGATTTTTGTATTTACTGGTTGTAAAGTAGGCCCATAATTCATTAACAAAATGACTGACGTTTGATTGTGCTGGTTATAAAGTAGGCATACAATTTATTAACAAAATGGCCGAGGTTTGATTACGCTGGTTAAAAAGCCTAATTTATTAACAAAATGGTTGATGTTGAATTGTGCTAGTTATAACAAAATGGCTGTGCTGGTTATGAATCGTTGGAGTAGTGGATTATCCCTTCTTTTATTTAACCATAGGTGGAAACATCTTTCCATTTCGAGAGGTCCAGTCCCGGAAGTGAGTAGTAATCGTCACATGATACTACCTTGGTTTTATAGCTGAAGTGAACAAACACGTTTTATTTTAAAATCAGTACAAACTATTTATTGATGTTTATAAATTAAATAATACTAATTCTGTACGGCCATCCACAATGTGCTGATTGTTCATTTATATAGCCGTGATCATACACTGAACCTTATTTTTAATGTAAATAAAATCTTCAAATGCTAAAATAGTGGTGCAGAACGGATGAGATCAAAACAATATCACTTGACTCAATGACAGACATTAAGACCACCCAAGACATAATGATAAAACATGATTATTACCTATTAGGATGTAGGAAAGCCTGTCTTGGTACGTGGCGTAAATTGGTATTATAACACAATACTCTCGCAATACTCATGTCTTTAATTGCCGTCACTTGATCTGATAAAAAATGAAAATTAAAAATTAATATATTTAATAAGTTCACTAATAGTACTCTCTCTTCGGTAACAACCATGGTACTCTTTGTGTAATAAGTTGCAGTTAAAACTTTTCTGTAAGAGGTGACCTAAATATAAGTGGCGTAGTAAATATGGTGCTGGCCGAAAATTATACTGGGCAATTTCATGCCCGGTTTCTCCTGTCTATTACAATGTCAGAATGTCATGAAAAGATCCCCTGACTTTTAAAAAAAAATCAAATTAAATCAGTTCCAAACGGAGGTATTTGTCTGTGGATCCCCATTAGTAATACCAAACTCTGTGTATACGTACCTTTGGTTAAAGCAGATGGGTTACTAAGATGATAGTTATAATAAGATGGTGGCTGAAGGTTCTCAAACCAGTATCGGTCACCATATTTTATGTTGTAAAATTGATGCGCAATGATACAGGCGAATGTTGGACCAACAACACCATCACGTACAGCACGTTCTGTCATGCCACCGATATATAAATCCACATCACCCGGGTCTCTGTAAGGTCAGATTAATAATTTGATAATAACCCTATACGAATAACATGGATAATAACCCTATATTGTTGACATGGATAATAACCTTGTTTTAATAACATGGATTATAGCACTATATTAATAGCATGGCTAATAACTCTATATTAATAACATGGATAATAACTCTGTATTAATAGCATGGACAATGGCCCTATATTAATAGCGATAATAACTCTATATTAATAGCGATAGATAATAACCTTAAAAAAAAGGACAATGACCCTATATTAATAGCAATGGATAATAACCCTATATTAATAGCGATGGATAAAACCCCTACATTAATAGCGATGGATAAACACCCTATATTAATAAAATGGACAATAACCCTATAACTTGTTATTGTTAAAATAATGTGGATTTTATGACACAAACTTGGAAAATTAATAATTTAAATAAATTGTTTTCGGGATTTATTCGAATAAACCTAATTGGAAATCCCCCCCCCCCCCATCTAATCATATTAAGCTTAAAATAAACTATAACACATTCTTATCGAAGAACAGTTACTTAGTTTATTGTTCTATCCAGTTACTAATTGGCTCTAAAGCATTGTTTAGTAAGTTCATTACCCGTAAGTTCTGGCCAAATCTCGAACTTGTGCCGTACTTCCATCAAACCTGATAGGTCTCAATCCACAGAATTTTCTGTATTCATTGTAAGGTGCCAAACCATGGTCTCTACCCCTCTGTATATTAATGGCCGGCAAATCCACACCAGCTGCCAAAAGTGTTTCAAACAATCTATTTTTGAGTCCATTACCGAATTTTGGATCAACGTCTTGACTTGAATCTATCAACATGCCTTCCACAAGAAGATCTAAACCCCTACCTGTAATTACGAATATACAAGATTACATATCAGAAATAATCTAGTTGTGTCCTGATTTCCTTTCAGACATCACCTGATTACCATATAGACACTACCTACATCGTATAGTGTCCAGGTTAATCTTTTTGAAACTATCTGTGTACATGTTTCTATATTACTTTTCAGAAACTACCTGTGTCAAAGCTGTGTCTAACTTTGTCTAGATTTCCTTTCAGAGACCACATGTATCTAGTTGTGCCCAGATTGCCTTTTAGAAACCACTACTTGTTCCAGTTTGCCTTTTAGAAACCACCTGTGTCTCTATTCGTATCTAGATTACCTTATAAAAAACCACACGTTTCTAGTTGTATCTAGATTGTTTTTTTAGAAACCATCTTTATCTAGCTGTGTCAGATTGCCTTTTAAAAACCACTAGTTGTGTCCAGATTGTTAAGAAGAAAAACCAATTCTCGATTTCAAACGGTAAGCAACACGGTTTTTAAATTGAATGTGGTGATCAAATATCTGTGTCAACAATGAAAAAAAGAGTTAATTTTGATTTTGTTTCCACCTGATGTCCGTTGAAAAAATAAATGGACAATGCTTCTCCCCTGATTGTAATGAATGGACACAGAAATAAGCAGTAAATGCGCAAAATCTGCATAATTATAATTTCAGAAAATCAATGACACAAGTAGGTAAATAATTAAAGATGCATTATGTAAAGAGCAAAATCTGTCCGTTGGCGATCTTATTTCTGGCTCCAGATGTTATTTGAATTAATATTTAGACATATACAGTATTCACATGACATACCCATTATCAACTCTCGAGGATTAGAACACATTAACCATTGAATAATTTAACGATAAAATAGATAATCAAGCTGGCACTTGCTAGCAATGGGGACTATCTTGTCAATTCAAACATTCATAACTTCACTCAAAATAAAGTAATTTGACTGATATTTTCAATATATTCATTTCTCACTGTCTGTTTTTGAACTATTATAGCAATGACAGATAGCTCTTTATATCTAAATCTTACATAATAAATCTTTAAATACGAAATACCAGAGTTGTGCTTACCTTTAAAGTCATAGACAAAGTATGGTCTGAATGTCATGTCTATTACAGGTACCTTTATGTTACCATATGTCCATTTATTGGGTATGGAAGAATGGCCATATCGAAAGGCGGCTGTAGAAAAGGCATTGATGATTCTTGGATCTATATTTGGGTTGTACTGATGTCGTGAGTTGGTATCTGACCATAACCTGTATAAAAATACGTGATTCAGTGGTTAGTTCGTTTGAGAGGCTGGTCCAGAATAGAGTGGTAAAGAGGGGAGACGAAAATAAGCAGTTTCGTTTGAGGTCTTTAGGCAAGTAGATGGTGACTGGCCCACGTTGTCACCCTCACGTCGATCTAAAGATGGTTGATGCATGATGGAATGGGTTTGTGTGCTTGCTCACAGTAGCGTGATATGGCCCAACTGCCAATGCCGATTATAGCCTAACCATTTCCACAAGTAAGAAGACACAATGCTCAAGCGCTGACTTAATTGACACGAGCCCCATTCCAAAAGCCGTTTGTGTGTATGAAGCACAAATAACTTGTTTCAAATATTTAAAGGTGCATTATGTAAGATATAGATAATGTATTTGTCGGTCTTGCTATAGGAGTTCAAATATAGATAATGAAAATTGAATATATTGAAATTTCATTCAAATTATTTTATTCTGGACGAATTTATGACTGTTTGAAGATGTAGCGCGGGTAGCAACGGTACTCAACAACCGAGGCTAATTTTGGATTATCCATTTTATCGTTAAATTTTAAAATATCGCGGGTGTTTAAATCCATTTAAATCTCGGCCATCCGATGATCTAGAGAGTTAAAGACATGCCATGTGAATAAATGTCTAAATAATAATTTATATAACATTTGAAGCTGAAAGAAAGACCTACAATAGGCAGATTTAGCTCTTCAGTTCAATTTTAAAATATTAAATTTTATTTATTGTGAAAAAAATGATAAATTTAGAAACGTATTTTATTTGCGAGAAACAAAAGTTTTTTTATACGTTTTTATCGCTGGGGGCACAAAGCCTATTAATGTCGCAGTTGGTGTTTTGTCCGGCCATACTTTTAAATTCGGCAATGCTATAGGAGAGTTCAACACAATACCTGTGTCCAATGCCAACATTTAGTGGCAATTTGTACAGGCGTGCCTTAATCACTTTAAAATACAATAAAATCAAAATCTAATGACCGGACCTATATTTCCTGGCCGCTTCTGTTCCAACAACCAAAGGTAGCCATTCATTGTAAGTAATGTGCTGTAAAATAGCCGCTACTATTGTCCTCGTTTCCTGAAATAAGCTCTCGTCATTCCATCGTGGATTCATTCGTCGGAGCTGTCTCGCTATTCGGTTGTGCATTCGAACAAATATTGTGCTGTACGCGGTAGTGCCCGGATGCAAATCAGCTCTTGCGTCACCTGCAAAAGACAATCGGGTTTCCAGGTGATTCCAGAATCTTAATCAATTTCGATAACCAATATATCGTTTTATGTAAATTAAATAAAATGATTTTCAATTTACCCACTATATATCTGCACAGACCGGGTTAATGAAGAGGGGGGGGGGGCATTCACCCACTGAGCAAGAAAAGACTTTATTAACAACAGCAAGCTAGGCGAACTTTAGTAACGCCGCTATAGTTAATTTAGTTCGAAGCCAGTACACGTCTTTTTTTCAGAAGTATTAAGTCAGGTGGTTATTAAACTTTTATGATACTCTACCCATATAGTTATTTTTACCCCCACCCCCACCCCAAGTCCTGATATTGATTATAAATAATATTATTAACAAAAATATGTACCAGGAAATGAACCTGGCGTAATCTCAACCATCATGGAATTATGTCGCAATATCAAAAATCTAAGTTCATCTATTGATGCTCAATTGCCTCCTAATTTCCAGGAGAATTAAATCTCAAATTACCAACTTACCAGTCAGCGTACAAACGTCTGCATTGGTTCTTTTATTACAAACGCCATCTACATCCGGTGGTAACATATTATACTTACTTACTTTCATCAAACCTTAAAGTAGTAAAATTATTATTAATTTATAAATATGAAATTAAAATAAATGAATGAAATGCGGTTTAACGACCTACTTTTCTGCTCCAAACGGGATAATGAATTGAAAATCTGTTAAATATGACAACTTAAGATACGATGATAATTTCAATTTTAAGAAAGGAAATGAAATGGGGTTTAACGTCCTTCTGTTCTGCTCCTATGCTGGGCTAATGAAGACGGGCATACGCCATACAGTGTGCTATGTGGGAAATTTTGCCCGGGCAGCGGCACTATGGCCTACTCTTATATCGAATTCCAACTGCCAAGGGATATTTTACGTGCATTCCAATGTAGACACGGGACCTCTTTTTGTCGTATCATCCGAAGGACTAGACAGCTGTCCTTGTCAGGCCCTCCGTCCTGCATCACTGACAAGGGGGTACCACGCCGGAAAATCTGGATGAACTTTCTCGGCCAATGCAGGGATCGAACACCCGACCTCCAGGCTAGTGAGCCAGCGTCTTACCCATTTAGCCACGTGATCCCCCAAAGGAGGGCCGCAGTCAAACAAAACATACCCCCACGCCCCCCCCCCCCCCACAAACACACTGCATATACATGGCACACATTATACATGACACCCTCCCTTTATCCAGCGGTTACGATTATTTGGATTCTGAATTCCAATTCCAAATAACTCTATCCATGGAGGGAATGATATTAAGTTAGACGTAAAATTAGTAACATCTTCCAGGAAACACCATTGTAAGGGAAAGAGTCGAATCGACAAGCAAGTTTTTAATGGGTCGGTGATTTTATGTTAACCAACACAAGCCCTCCCTTATTTGTAGAACTCACACACATGGTATATCGTAATTCTGTGGACTAATACATTGATGGTATATCGTCACAAACTCTTGGGACTAACACAAATGGTATATCGTAACAAATTCTTGGGAACAATACAAATGGTATATCGTAACAAATTCTGGGGAACAACACAAATGGTATATCGTAACAAAGTCTTGGGAACAACACAAATGGTATATCGTAACAAATTCTTGGGAACAATACAAATGGTATATCGTAACAAATTCTTGGGAACAACACAAATGGTATATCGTAACAAAGTCTTAGGAACAATACAAATGGTATATCGTAACCAAGTCTTAGGAACAACACAAATGGTATATCGTAACAAACACTTGGGTCTAACACAAATGGCATATCGTAACAAAAAACGCTTGGGTCTAACACAAATGGTTTATCATTAACAAACTCTTGGGACTAACACAAATTAGCAAAATATTTCTGCCCGAGGCATATTGTTTTATGTTAGTGTCGGCTAATCAAGATGGTAAGTATTCTACTTATATCTGTGTAAAAACACTGCTTTAGGCAGAACTTGACTTTTATACATTTCATCTGTCACCATTCCCATAAAAAGAAACATTTAGGACAGAACTACAGTTCAATAGAAGAACAATACAACAATTTAACAATTTAAGATTTGTGTCAGTTAAGTCGTTATGAGTATATATAACATTTAATTTGAAAAAAAAAGAATTTTAAACTCTAAATTATTATTCTTTTTGGTGGATTTTATACTCGAACTTCAATATTATTATTGTTTTATTGAATTTAATACTTGTACTTCATTAATGTTATTTTGTTTTAGTCTTATAGTTTTTGGTGGATTTTATAATCGAAATTAAATTTTATTACTGTTTTAGTGGATTTGATACTTAGAGGCCAATAATACTATTTTGTTTAGTATTTTATACTCAAGATTGAATAATGTCATTGTTTTAGTGACTTTCATATTTGGGCATCAATAAATACTTATATATTTTTTATCAGAATTTCTATACGGACTTAAATATTAGATTTTATATTCAAACGTTAATATTGTTTTTTCTTTAATTAGATTTTCGACTCGGAATTCAATTATGTTATTCTTTTTAGTAGATTTTCTACCCAGGTTTCGATATTGTTATTCTTTTTAGTAGATCTTATACTCGGGCTTCAATAATGGACAGCGCCGTTTCCGCCTACTCTTCGTCGAAATCCGACCGTGTGGGATTCTTTTACTTGCACGCCAACCAGTACACAGCGCCTGTGTATTTTTTATATGCCCCCCCCCCCCCCCCACAATGAACATCCTCGACCATCATCGTGTTCCAATTAGGGACCTTCTAATCGATTAGTGAGTCAGCGCCTTACTCGCTGAGCCACTGTAGCCTCCGCAAATTAGAAGTATAGTTGAAATAAATGCACACGTGTCTCACCATTTCTAAACAATCGAAGCTTGTCCAATCTTTCATCAGTGACACCATAAACATTGCTAGCATCCAAAAACGATGTCTGAATATTCTTTTGTTCTCGAACAGCTAAATAAATAAAGTTAAAAAATATATAGACTACAAAATGCATATTATTTAGACAGTTTCAAATATATGTTGTTTAACGTCCTACTTTTTGCACCGAATCGGCTAATGAACTATGAGGAAAATTTTGACTATGAGGAAAATTTTGACTATGAGGAAAATATGAAGAAAATTTTGACTATAAGGAAAATATGATAAAAATTTTGACTATGAGGAAATTTTTGACTATGAGGAACATTTTGCCCGGGCAGTGGTGTTTCCGGATTTTTTTTTATCGAATTCCAACTGTCACCTGTTCTTTTACCTGGACGTCAATCTGTACAAGGGATATCTTTTTCATACCATCCGAATGACTAGACGCCGTTCCTTCATAATACAATAATGGCAATAGGAAACGGCAATGGAAAATCCAGGGGAACTTTCTCGTCAACACCGGGATTAAACCTCGGACCCAAAGCTTTACTCACTGAGTTAATTTTATTTAAGTGTTTCTTAAATCGCTTTCACAACTTATTTGCCTTTCAGCCGCTGTAGAATTCCTTAAAACACAACAAATTAACTAAAGAAATTAATGTAGAATAGATTTTTTCAAGAGCTTATTAAATCTAAAATGATTGGTATGTGGACAGCAGATATGAAATAGCTCATGTCCGATGACCGCGCGTCTTATTTTGCATTACCGGATGTGTTATGCTGTATTATGACGTGTCATTTTCTATTATGTTATTCTGATTGTATTATGACTTGTTATTCTCTATTATCCCATGTGTTATTCTTTCGCATCACATGTGTTCTTCTTGTTCACTTTTCTTGCGAAAAATTACCTTAGTTACTTAAAAACATAGACGAACGATATCGTGTGTCAAACGGAGAAGAAAACAAAAAGTGTTCCGGCAAAGGTGATTCAACCAATAAATGAAATAACTCACGGGATTGACATTTTAAATTAGGATCTTCTACTTCCATAGATCTTACAAAGTTCATACAACGTCTTGGTTTAAAAAAGTTATCATTTACAGGTATCTCGATAGGAAAACATGGTCCACTGTAAAACAAAGCAGCTGTTATGAAAGGGCTGACATTCGATTACACGCTTAAAATTAATATAACTGGAGTCATACTTAAAATTTATATTGGAATTAATGGGGGTGAATAAATGCAAATACGATTTATGCACGAGCAGTCGAGGTATGATTTATGAAATGCGTCCAGAATCCCCTTCAGTTTTCTGTTGAAGGGTGTATTTTCTATAAGCCTAAAGGAGTTAAAATAATCAAAATATGTGCAATTGATATGAACCCCAAACAACATTTACCCGCCACATTTAATTCTTGTTTTGAAATATTAAACAAGGGTCAATTTTGTGATTAGCATTTCGACAGTGGAACACAAAATCAGCTATATCTCAACACTGGCTGTATTTTTGGATTTTAAATTTCAAAAGAAGACAGATACACACTTAAAAAAGAAAGCAGCTCAACACATCAAACTTAATTAAACCTAATTTGTTTACTCAAATTAAATCTAAATATTGTTTCCCAAAATAAAAACTAAATATTGTTTACCCAAAATAAAATCTAAATATCTTTTACCAAAATAAAATCTAAATATCTTTAAAATCTAAATATATTTTACCAAAATAAAATCAAAATATCTTTTACCAAAATAAAACGTAATTGTTGTTTACCCAAATTAAATGTAATTATTGTTTACCCAAATTATTGTTTACCTAAATTAATTCTAATTATTGTTTACCCGAATTGAATTTAATTATTGTTTACCCTAATTTAAATATAATTATTGTTTACCCAAATGAAATCTAATTATTGTGTGCCCAAAGTAAAGGCTTAATGATTTTAAACAAGGAAGTAAATAACATCTTACTCGATGGCTGAAACATCCCACATGTCATTTAACTGTTGCGTACAACAATTGATAGCCGTGCCAGCAGCATCTTGGAATTAAAAAAAAAGAAACAAAACAAAACAATTGATAGTATTAATTGTATCTATTAGTCAAGGGACTTTATAATAGATTTTACGATTACTTTCGTTTGCATTCCGTGTTTTATATTTGGCCGGATTCAATTTTATTTGACACTAGCAGATGACTCGGTGCTGCACGGGTTGTGTCCGTAACTCCGAAACTGGAAGCAATAGGCCAACACCACCTAGTCTGTGTTACTCCCCAGACGGAGCTACCCCTCTGACTACAATCACGGGGCCCCTTTTGAATGGCACGCATGCGTAACACATAATTAAACTCTGTAATAAAAGAATAATTACATAATATCTGATCACATACGAAATCTATTCAGTTCCCAATGGCATACAAGTCTAGAAGCCTAGACCGATCACTGAGTGGAACGTCACAGAGAAGGTTGAGGGATAGCTCCGTCTCCGCCCTCGCGCCACCAGATCGATTACTGTGAAACTTTCATCTGGAATTTGAATTTTTTTCTTTTTGCCATGAGCAGCGGGCCCCCCAAAACCGCGGGTCCCTGAGGCCCATGCCTAAGATGGGCTTTGCCCTCTACACCAAATTTCCCCCTCGACACAGCCCTAGTGTAACCGCCAACCCTAGACAGACAGACGAACAGACAGCCAAATGACAGTCACAAATATTAGTATACATATCACCAATATCTAGCATCGTTACTGCTGGCTCTCTTTAGTCACCGGTAGAGACTGAATGTAGCGGTAGTGGTATAAAAGCTGGTAGTGATTGACATGTGTTTTACTTGTGTACTGTAAACGGCCAATGAAAACGCAACTTTTCCAGTTACTCCCAAGACATCGTGTACCAAGTCGCAGATATTACTTCGGTGGAAGCGGACGTTAAATAAAGCTATTTCACACACTCGTTGATAACACAGCCGGCATCGTCAGTCACCAAAATATCGGTCATTTAGTACATGGCCGATCTTATGCAGTGCAGAATATCTGCACATAGAGAGCTATCAATATGTACTTGGGGAATAGATCTCTGTCCTGAATGGTCGCCATATCCAAAAATTAGTGTACTCTTTTGTTATGCGGTTTTAATCCATTTTTCATCTTTCATACAGATAATGACTAAATAAACATGCTCAGTTTTATTAAATACTAAAATGAAAAAAGACTCAACACTTCTAAAATTCCTAGAAATATACTTTATATTTCGGCTAAAATCTACGATGTAGAAATTAAGTGTTGGTCAATTTCTTCGTGTCTGTTTTCAAGCAATGCTAATTGTAGACAGGCAATGAAATATCCGAATCATCAGTACAAAATGAAAAAGATAAATATTCTTAAACAGATTTAGTAGACAAAAGGAGATTGGCCACCATCTGTAACAGATAACAGGCTGGACGGCAAGGTGGAGCTTCATGCTGAGTATAAGTATACTTTTGTGAAAAACAAGCAAATAAAACAAGTACGCGGGTACCATGGACAAGGAACCGACCATGACGTGGTCATCGCCATATTGGAATTGGAATTTCTTACCGTCAATCGATGCCAACTATCCAGGGAACAAGCATGCCAAGAATCACCTCGATCGTTCTGAAGAACAAGATGAGTAACGCTCGGGGCCCAGTTCCTAGTCCATGAATAAAGGGACTTTTTAAATATTATACTGCTTTTTTAAAAAAAAAATATGAAAACATTTTACCTTTAACGGTAGGAGAGGAATTTAAATCCAGAATAAGAAATTGACCGAATACTTGAAATAGATTGGTGTAAATAGTCGACATGGATTCATGGAAATCACTGATTAGTACGACATTACTAACACGTCTAGGACTAGGTAGTGGCCATCCATCTAACCCATTCATTCTTGGGGAATTAAATCCTGTTCGAAAAACGAATAATGATTGAAAAACAAAATGTTTATTTGTTCGAAAGAAAAAAAAATAATAATTGAAAATAATATATAATATGTTTGTTTGATTACCCTATGCCAGCTCATATCCCCCCCCCCACATCCATAGCCATAGACGGCAGTCTATCTGAAAGGAAAAAAACTTTGATCGGGGCCAAATTGATAAAGATTTTTTATATGCATCCAAGAAATCTGATATCTTTCGTGGTCACAAGCTTTTCCGGATACATAACCTATCTCAGAAAGTCCTAGAATGCAGAAAATCAACAAGATTTTTCCTTTTCGATCTCAATGCTTGACACTAAATTTGAAAATCAATAACATTCATCATGGGACAGTCCTAAAGCTTCTCAACGAATTTGAAATACCCCCCTTGAAGGTTTTCGGAAAGGTGGGAGTAACTCCGGAACTAAAGGTCTAGGTATGCTGAATATCGGTAGGGTTCATCCATTCACGACTTTAATGCTTCACACGTGTATACAGTTTTCGGATAATTAGTTGAGGGAAGGCGTAACCCCGGAATGGAAACTCGTGGAACGCTAAATATGTATAGGATACGTCCTCTGTAGACCACAAAGCTTCAGAACAAAACCCAACTGTATGTAACCGCTATTGCGTTCACTGAGCCTACGCGGCTCCCGGCTATAAACAAATGAAATGAAATGGAGTTTAACGTCCTACTGTTCTGCTCCTAACCTGGGCTAATGAAGACGGGCATACGCCACACAGTGTGCTATGAGGGAAATTTTGCCCGGACAGCGGCACTACGGCCTACTCTTATATCGAATTCCAACTGCCAAGGGATCTTTTACGTGCACGCCAATGTGTACACGGGACCTCGGTTTTTCGTCCCATCCGAACGACTAGACAGCTTTCCTTGTCAGCCCCTCCGTCCTGCATCACTGACAAGGGAGACCCACGCCGGAAAATCTGGATGAACTTTCTCGGTCAATGAAGGGATCGAACACCCGACCTCCAGGCTAGCGAGCTAGCATCTTACCCACATAGCCACGTGATCCCCGGCTATAAACAAAAATAAATAAAAAGATAAAAGAGATATATAAATAATATATACAATAATATAGACTTAAAATCTTTAAAATAAGTTAATAAAAGTACTTTAGAGAACAGATTTAAAAATAACAATACTCTCACATGCACGTAAATAGTAGGGGAGTTTGTTCCATAGAATAGGAGCCCCAAAAGAAAATGTTCTTTCACCAAAAGAAGACGGTGTGACCTTGGGCGGAACAAGAATTAATTCATAATTCTTGTTGTCTTAAACAGCGAGTATATAAATGTAAAGCATGGAATAAATGTTAACGCTTACCGTCATCGTAATAGTTGGGCAGTATTCTTTTTAGCTGTGTTATAGAGGATCCCCAAATAGGCGTCTTCATGTTGTTACACGTGCCATCAGAACGCCGATATCTCTCAAAACGACTACACTCTATTTTAGGACAGGAAAGCGGACTGGGTATCACATGGCGTTTTTCTCTAATATTATCAGCTGAAATGGCAAAGAATCAAACGGTTAATGAATGAATATGATTAGACAGTGAAGTTTTATCATAGAAAATTAATATCAAATCCATACCCAGATTTACTTTTATTTCTTTCAAAATCATAAACTTACTTTCATTCTAAATCATAAATTTACTCTTATTTCTTTCAATATCATAAACTTACTTTCATTCCTTTCAAACTCACTTTCATTTCTTTCAAACTCATTTTCATTTCTTTCAAAATCATAAACTTACTTTCATTTCTTTCAAAATCATAGACTTACTTTCATTTCTTTCAAAATCATAAACTTACTTTCATTCCTTTCAAAAATCGTAAACTTACTATCATTTCTTTCAAAATATTAAACGTGCTTTCGTTCCTTTCAAAATTCATTTCTTTCAAAGTCTTTTCTTGCACTTACTTTAAGTTCATAAGTTTGGCTAAAACTAAAAACTGATAAATCCTACAAAAACTAAATTTAACTGAACTAAATTTATAAAAAATCATAAACCTACTTTCATTCCGTTCATAAGTTCGGCTAAAACTGATAAATCCAAGAACTAAAATGAAAGAAATTCTCATCGTAATAACGACCATTTTGATTCGTCAACACAGTATGTCCCAGTCTTATATATTTTTATATAATATATATATACATATGTTTTTTAAAAATTATTCTCCTTGGTGATTGGTTAATGTATTAGATCAGTGTGCTGCCTTCATATGTTGTAATTACATATACATTTCATTATTATCTGATTATTATTAACTCCTAATTGCCTCAGGGATAAATAGAAATTATGAGGTTTTCTTTCTGGGTGGGACGATTTAAACAATACTACCGAATACCACCCAAAACCGCCCCAATACCACCACATACTACTCAATACTACAACATAATGATGCAAAATGGGCATACTGCTTGATTGTTTTTTAAAAAATAATGAGTTATATCGCAGTAAATGCACTTTAAATGCTATAACCGATATCTGGCTGTTCCATTTACCTCCCTATATCACCCAAAACCAAGAAGTGTCGCCGAAAGAGCGATGATAATTTATAAAGAGAGGCGGGTCGATGTATCCCCTACAATATCATCTACGAAATTCCATTTAGATGAAGGTGACAAGTTGTTAAGGCAATATACCACAGACATCAATGTTAATGCAGCAAAATCTACTAATTTATGTATACAGTATGTATTGATATAATTGCTTAATATTGTATAATATGGCCTCAAGTCAATTGGAAGAAAAACTATAGCGCGGACATCTGTAACAACTTTTTATACGCCCACATTTTCATGTGGACGTATACTGTCGTCGCCACTGTCCGTCCGTCCGTCCGTCCGTCTGGATGTCCGGTTTGTGAACAGTCTACAGGTCAGGTCACAATTTTTAACCGATTTCAATGAGCACCGAAGTCGGGGATATGTGGGGACATGCCCCCCCCCCCCAGAAAATTTAAGAAAATATGAAGGCCACAAAAGCGTTTTCCTGCTATTCCGGTCCGTGTATACAGCAAACTGAAAATTTCCAATGATGCCCATGTGAACTCCAATCAATCAGACTGTTGTTGCATTCACATGACATTAGAAATTTCACTGGTGAAACAAATGATGCCCGAAAAACATGTTACGCTTAGAGCTTAGTGACTACTCTGTTGAGTATTGCTAGTCACTGTTTCGTCACCTCAGAATTAAAGTGTTCTATCTCCACTTTTAGAAGAAATGGAGTTATTATAACCAGTAATTAAAGTAACTTCAATATTTTACAGAAAACAAATTACAAGGTCAGATTTTAAAGAATTATAGGAGTAAATCATAAAATTTTATTGTCCTATCTCATTAATGAAAGCAAAATTTAGAGTTATAATGTTCTATGTCCGATATCCAATGACACTGCCCCAAAACAGTCACGTGATCATTTTCCAAAATGGCGCCTGCTAGGCTTAACTTGTCTAAGGTCATTGATGAAGTTTTGAAGGACGATGAAGAAGATAATGTTATAAACAAGAAAGAGTGAGTACATTTGAAAACTACAACCTATGTCACTAAAATTGTAAAGTTAGAAACAATTAAAACATTAAAATATACCCAAAACACCCTGATTAGTGTGGCCTTGGAGATAGAACAATCTAAATCTAATTTCATCTTATTTTCCATTTGGCGCGTAGACATAGGTTTTTAATTCTTCTCTCATCTGTCATTCATTGTTGTATGTCAAATTTTATACTTTGTTTCATTTTAGGTCTGATACTGTTAAATTTATTCCTATTGGAATTCAGCTTACACCCCAATTAAGGGTATTGTCCGATAGTTCATCAGATACAAATTCGGACATTGATGATGAGGTAGCTGACCCAACCTTTGAAGTTAATGATGTTGCAGAAACAGACCCGGAAACTTCTGTAAATGAAGACAAAATGTGCGTTTCCTTCATTTTGTTATCTAAGTTCATATAGGCACGAGAATATTTAGTTCCGAAACTAAAATCAATGGAAACGAAATGAAATGAAATGGGGGTTTAAAGTCCTACGTTTCTGCACTGATTGGGTTAATGAAGATAGGCATAAGCCATCTAGTGTGTTATGAGGATGATTTTTCTCAGACAGCGGCGCTACGACCTACTCGTATATCGAATACCAACTGTTAAGGGTTCTTAAACGTGCACGCCATTGTGTGCAAAGGATCTCGTTTTCCCCCCATCCGAACAACTAGTCAGTATAATATCTTATTTCAAGGTGGTGAAAGATTTTGTGTATTGACTGAATTGAAAAAATGGAACAATATTAAATTTGTGTACACTGAAGGATTAAGATTTAATGGCCTTATGTATAGTGTTAGTTTAATGTTACTTTTACATTTCTAATTATTTTTCCAGATCAAAGAGACTCAGTAGGAAACGAAAACGTGACCCAGCAGCATGGAAGGCTAATATAAGTAGACGAGCCTGTCAGTCTGGAAAAGAATATGAAGACGTTAAGGGAAATATTAAACGAGCTAGACAAGTTAAAACTAAGAAGGATTGTAAGGGTAACTGCAAATTTCAGTGTGCCAAGGTTATCAGTGATGCCGAACGAGATGTTATCCACAATCATTTTTGGAAACTGCCAGATGATAGAAAGTCTCATTTTTATGCACAGTTTACAGAAAGGCGAGTAAAAGCAAGAACTAGAACCCTTTCTGAGCAGTCACGTAGAAAATATTCCTTCCTCTATTTTTTTGAAGTAGGTGGTGTTCGACACAGAGTATGCAAGGAGTATTTTTTGACATCCTTGGATATTAGTCAAAGACGAGTGTCCTATTTCTATGACCATGTACGACAAGATCAAACACTGATTCCCCGTTCACCCAAAACGTGTAATACCTGAAGATAGAAAACAGAGTGTGCATGATCATATAATGTCAATACCAAGAGTAGAGTCCCATTACTGCCGTTCTACTACAAGAAAAGAATACTTTGAAACCACACTTAACCTGAAAATACTGTATGAAATGTATAAGGAGTACTGTAACGATAGAACCATTGTACCTGTACAGGAGCATATGTATAGACACATTTACAACTATGAATATAATATTGAATTCTTAAAACCAAAGAAGGATCGATGTGACAAGTGTGAAGAATTTCGAAATAATGCTGATGCTAGTGATGAAGAAAAAGAAAAGTTTGAAGAGCACCTACGGATGAAAACTGAAACAAAAGTAGAAAGAGATAATGATAGGGTGAATAAAGAAAGGGCTATAATTTGTTTTGATTTAGAAAATGTATTATCCCTTCCACGAGCTAATATATCCAGTTTCTTTTACAGAAGAAAACTCTCAGTATACAACCTCACTGCTCATTGTTCTCTTGACAAAAATGGTTATTGTGCCATTTGGAGTGAAGGTTTATCAGGTCGTACAGGCAATGATATTGCGTCCTCTCTAATTCGCATTCTTGAGAAAGTAATGGGACGACATCCTGATGTTAAAGATATCGTATTGTGGTCTGACTCATGTGTAGCTCAGAATCGAAACTCAATAATGTGCGTGGCACTGAAGGATTTTTTAAAGAGGTATCCCTTTGTTAATTCAATAACCCAAAAGTTCTGTCAGCCAGGTCATAGCTCTATACAAGAGGTAGATGCAGTACATAGTCTTATTGAACGCACCCTTAAAAAATGTGAAGTTTTCAGTCCAGTTAGCCTAATGAGGATATTACCATCTGTAAATCGCAAGCACCCACTCATTGTTCTGCAGATGAGACATGAGCACTTTTTTGATTATCAATCAGTTAGCAAATTGTATAAATATAGTGATATACCATTTACAAAAACTAAACAAATTATGTACCTTTCAACCCATCCTTACCATGTTTTGTATAAAACAAGTCACACGGAAAACTTTCTTGAAGTAAGAATAGTTGATCGTAGACCTGAGAGAAATATTAATCCAAATCTATTGAGCCCTTTGCCAAAAATCAAAAGTATTCCGATATCAAGTGGACCTTTACTTAGTCAAGATAAATTTAAAGACCTTACTGCAATGTTAAAATTTATGCCTGCTGTAGATCGACAGTATGTTAAGGCTATTTGTAGATTATGAATAAGTAGGCTCCCCTGTGCAAACACTGGATTTTCTCCGGGTCCTCCGGTTTCCTCCCACTGCTAAAGACTCCTAAGCGCAAGCTAATTATTGAAATAAAATTGAATCAGGTCTTAGTCCCGAAATGACCTAGTTTGTGTCGAGTGGACGTTAAATCCATTTCTCTCTCTCTAGATTATGAATATTTCGAGATGTAAATATGTTATCAATAATAAAGACTTTGTTATTTGTGTTACTTCATCTTGTATAACTTGTTCATGGTATTTCAACATTATTATCACAAATTAACTTTATTACCTTGGAAACAAAAAGACAGGAGCGAGTTGTTTTGACAACTTTAGTAATAAAGGGTAAGTGCTTGTATTTATATGACACAGAAAGTCATTGACATCAGGGTTTTGACAAATTCCCTTTCAAACTTGGTCTAACACATGTGCTTTACATCATAAGGCCTGGCATTATTGAGTCAAGTGACTCAAGCTTTTATGAGACAAGGAGTAGAATAACCTGCCCAACCTCTTGGGTTTTATCCGGGTCTTCCGGTTCCGTCACACTGATAAAGACCCCTACGTGCAAGTGAATTATTAGAATAAAAGTCTATCATATGTTAGTCTCGAAATGGCATAGTTTGTTTTGTGTGGACGTTAAGTTCTCTCTCTATAACTTGAAAAGGTTAGACCCATAAGCTGTGCTTATTTCCATATTGTTTCGCTTTGTTAATTAGACCAAATCGACCAATATGGGCATGTTACCATGCTCAGAAAGACTATTTTATAGGATAATATTTGTGTCAAGGTGTTAGATTCATGAAAGTAGTTTATTTATACGGGTATGCGTTATAAAAGCACATACGATTCTATTCCAGTGTTAAATGTAAAATTTCCCTTGGACATAGAACAATTTTTCTCATCTGAACTTACTCTTTGTTAAAAT